TAGCTTTATACAGGCGGACATTAAGAATATTCCTCGAACGTTTGGGACAAACATAAAAATAATGTTATCCTAATGTTTTCGTGTTACCTGAGTACGTCCTAGGTGCCACATTTCCGGGGTCCTCCTCGTAGTCGTAGCAGCTGGCCTAGGCCGTTTTCTGTGAGGACGCACCCTGCCAGCTATAACCAGAGGGCCGGCAGGTGCTTCGGTTCGGCCGTGCTCGGGTGCAGACTTGTACGTAATCCGTTACAAGTAACGAAATCACTTGTAATCCATTACAGTTATCAGTAATTTAGTAACGGAATAATTACATATTTGCTGGAGTAATTGTAAAGTAATTGCCTTATATGCTTACGTTACGGATTTGATGTAATCCCTTACATTCTCTCACAACCCCCCCCCCCCCTCCCCCCGAAAAAGAAAAAGAAAAAAAAAAGTTTTTACTTTTGGTAAAGTCGACCGCAGTCACACTGCCACGCGCATTGACCAGCACAAAGGGAGGCTTGGCAGTCTCCAGTTCCCCAAAGCCTTTCTTTACAACACCAAGTCCCTGACTCAATTGAATCGATTTGTTTGCACCCTGACAACAATATCAGAAGATCCAAAGGAGCATTTGTATAGAAAAAAAAAGTAGAAAAGAAAAGAAGGGCAAGCTACGTCTGTTTCTTTTAGTCCTTTTTTTTTTTTGCGATCGAAGACGGGGAGAGGACACCAAGGTATATGGTGCCCTTGGAGAAACTCGATGCGGTAAGTGCAAAGACAGGACATAACAATGTCCTTCTCGATTATAGAGACAACAACCATTTGCATAATGTCCCAACAGGATAGAACGCTCGGTCTACCCTAAAATCCACTAAAAGAGATGTGTTAATACGTGAAGTTGTTATTGCCACAAGCATCCTTGTTCGTTGCTGCACACTTCTAATCTTCTCTTAAAAGCAAGATTATTTTTTTCTACTTCTTTTTTACCTTATTTGATCTTGCTTTAAAAGCTACTTGCTTTTTTGTGGTCCAACTTTTCGGTTTGGCCCACTTTATTTGTGAATTCCGGCCAGGTTATCTGCATCCCAATCACCCTTTTTGTGCGTTAGCTTTTTGCGAGTACTTCGAAAATCGTACCACTCTTTCTTTTTTCCCACCTCTTTTAACCCCAGCGAGACGCATCTCATCTCAAGCAGAGATTTTTAGAAATAAAACAAAATGGTGGCTGAAGTAGACTTGAGATTCTGGGCTTGAGGAGAGAATGATACTGCAACTTAGTTCTCTGCTCTTCGCTGCCCGTGGCATCAGCGGACGTCTATCTGGAGAATACCGGAGCAAACTGCAATCGGTCCGTGTTGCGTGCGTTTATGAACGGCATCAAGGAAGGTACACACGGCAAACGTAGTCTACATTTCTTTGTTTTAGCCGACGTTCTAATTAATATATCTTTCAGAGTTTTGCCGCGAGCGTGGCGCGGCCTGGTGGAAGTTTCTCCAAACATTTCTGGGTGCTTCGTTGGTTGGTACGCGGCGCGTCCACCGCGCGGCTTTTCGCTCTGCCCTTTCTCGTGTGTCAAGCGGTCCCGTTGAACGCATTTCGCCATAGAGCACGTGTCTCTCTTTCGGTGACACTTCGCGTTAGTCACTCCTTGCAAATGGCTGTCCACGATCCTGGAGCATCGATGAGGGCCTCTGTCTACGACACGGACGACTTCGTTCGTCTTTACAGCTTCCAAGATGGATGGCACGCCGACGTAAAGCGCAATCCAAACCAACGCGTTTTTGTGCGCGCGAAAGTCCTGCGCTTCCCGGAAATTGCGTATTTCGTGACGTCGCGCTGATTCCGGTGCGCTTTCTGAGTCAGAAGCGTGCGCGTTGGTTAGGACCAGACTTGTACGTAATCCGTTACAAGTAACCAAATTACTTGTAATGTCTTACATTTATCGGTAATTTAGTAACGGAATAATCACATATTTTCTAGAGTAATTTTAAAGTAATTCCCTTACATTTTTTTACGTAACGGATTCCTTGTAATCCGTTACTTTTTTTTAGGACCAACCTAAAAAGTTATATTCCCTTTTTTTTTCGGGGGGGGGGGGGGGAGGGGGAGATCGAAAACGGGGAGAGGAGGACGCGAAGTGATTGTGTACCTCTTCGAGAAGCTCCAGACGGTAAGTGCACAGACAAGAATTAACAATGCCCTTCTCGTTTATAATGACTACGATCATTTTCATTATGTCACAACACCAGACAACGCCCCGTATACCCTAAAATCCACTAAAAGAGATGTGATAATATGTGAAGGTGCTATTGCCACAAGCATCCTCGTTCGTTGCTGCACACTTATTATCTTCTCGAAAACAGGATGTATTTTTTTCTATTTCTTTCACCTTCTTTTACCCTGTTTTAAAAGCTACTTACTTTTTTGTAGCCCAACTTCTAGAGTTGGCCCATTTTATTTGCGAATTCCAGCCAGGTTATCTGCATCTCAGTCACCCTTTCTGTGAGTCAGCTTTTTGCGAGCACTTTAAAAATGGGTAATAGTCTTCCTTTCTTCTTCTTGTTTTTCCCCCAGCAGGACGCATCTTATCTGAAGCAGATATTTTTACAAATAAAACATAATAGTGGCTGACGTAGACTTGATAGTCTGGGCTTGGGGAGTGTTGGGACCGCGCGTGGTTGTTTGGGCACTTTGGATACGGCAGGGAGCCCAGCCAGGGCAGGAACTCATGTGGAAGCCGGAATCGGGAAGGACCAGGGAGCAGGAGGGGTGTCTCTTATATAATACTTTATATATACATATGGACAGGTTACATCAACTCAGGAACACATTCGAGAACACTGTCAAGAACACTCGAGAACACTGTCGAGAACACTAGCTAGCAGCCGCCTGCTGCTGCTTTTGTAACCTCACTTGTCCCGACATCCCTAGCAGGGAATTCCCAGGGTTCATTGTTCGTAACGGCCAGGTATGCCATTTCCCTCTCCCCCACACTCTGCCACACGCGTCGCGCACACCGAAGGGCGGACGACCTTGGTCACGGTGTCGCCTGTCGATCTCGTTGGTCACCGGCACCATCGAGCATCGAGGTCCGGACGGGCAAAGATTCCTAATTGCAGGTGGCTTGGCTTCCGTGCGTAAAGGGGATAATCCAATCGAAGCTCGAAGCCTGGGGGAGGACGCAAAGTCCCCTTTCTTGCCGAGGGCGTCCCACGGCTGCCGAGGCGCCGCGCGTCGAGGCCAGACCGAAGCAGGAAGGAGAGGGTCCGGAAGGTAAAGGCCGATGACACCGGCGTCCGTCAACTTGATAATCCTTCGTTGGAGGCCACGTCGTCCCTTCGCAAAAGGCATGTTGGCGACCCCAGGGCGCCTCCTGCCCTGCCTCCGTGCACAGCTGACCGTCACCGCCCGGCGACGACGCTCCAGGGCGTTCCCCTGTGGCGGTTGGACTCTACGGCGAAACTTGTCTTCCGGGGCCTTTCACAACAGGAGAGAGTGAAACTCGAGAGTGGGGTCATAGCGCGGCTTACTTACTACTCTGTCCTTCGCTGCCCGTGGCATCAGCGGACGTCTATCTGTAAAACACCGGAGTAAACTGCAGTCGGTTCGTGCTCCGAGCGCTTTTGAACGGCACCAAGAAACGTACACACGGCAAACGTGCGTTTACATTTAATTTTTGTAACCTACGTTCTGAATAATTGTTGTTATGAGTGTCCTTTTTTTTCGATTACTTATATTTATTTACTGGAAACTTTTTTTTATTCACCAACGTCTCAACCGATGTTCGACCTGTTCAGAACCAAATTAAGAAGAATATCGAGCCAAACCTTATTTACTATTTAATTATCACCTTACTAATACAACTGTGTTTTGCTGTTGTCTGGCAATATATGCCGGTATAGTAAGATGAACATAAATCAATTCTTATTCTAGTCTCGGCTAGATGTATGATGACTTCTACAGCTTTACGATTACGAAAATGGAGAATTTTAGTCGACCGGTCCGATGACTTCAATAACAATACCCGATACTCTGCCGCCGCCTGTGCGCAAATGGAACAGGTTGCAACAAGAACTTGAATAACCCTCTTCCCTTTGTTTCTTAATTGAAGACAATATTGAAAGTAACGCCACGAAAGTAACGGATTACTTTTTGGGGTAGCGGGCACTTAGTTTCATGGAAGGGTAATTGTAATTGTAATAAATTACAATTTAGCCTTGAGTAATTATGAATGTAATTCCTTACTATTTTTCAGTAACGTGTACAAGTCTGGTTAGGACGGTGCGCTCAGCGCTCCCGGAGGACATATGCGCCCAACGGCGAAGAAACGCGGGGCCGGAACTGGTGCCCTCCATCGATTGGCCGGGAGAGGGTAGGGGAGAGGAGCGCCCTACTACGTCACAGCGCGTTTCTGTGCGCTTTCAGAAAAAGTTGAAATCATCCAACTTCCTTATGCGCGCCCGGAAGGCGGAAGGAATCAGCGCGACGTCACGAAATACGCAATTTCCGGGAAGCGCACGACCTACGCGCGCACACAAACGCGATAGTTTTGACTGCGCTTTACACCGGTCCGCGTCGTAAGTGCGAACTGTGTCTGTCGCAACTTTGGTGTCGAGTCGTTCAAGCAACTTAAGGGACCAACAAGGGTTGGTCCCTCAAGGAAGAATGCTACGTGAGGAATATAATCGTGAACACCTTCGATCCCGACCCGACCATTCATCTCATGAGGAGCTTGGGCGCTCCATCCAGTGGCGTACCAACTTCTGTTTGAGTGAGGGGGGGGGGGGCAAACCAGACCCCCCCCCCCCCTCTTCGCCCTAGGGCCGGGGATCGGTGCCCTTGGTATCCCTTACTTGGGCGCCGCCGGCCAGTGTTTGCCCTGCCCAGTAGCGGCTCCTTCAGGGGGGTCAAAACACATGCCTTGACCCCCCACTCTGAGAACTGGGGGGGGGGGGAAGCAAGCGTCCCCCCCCCCCCCCCCCCCGGTTGGTACGCCCATGGCTCCATCTCCAAAGCCCAGGCACTACAAGCAGCTGCTTTCGCTCGTCATGAACTCCGAAGTTGTTCAAGCTTATTTCGACTGCGTAGCAGGGTGAGTCCATTTCTGTTCCTAGCAGGGCTCTGATCGATGGCATAGCATTCCGCGCAACGCCTCTCGCAGAATAAAAGAATAGAATAAGCGAGGGGCATATGAGAGCACAAGGCGATGCCGTTGTTTTGTGCGTTCAGTCAGCAGCTTCGCGTGTTTCGCTATTTGTTTCAAAATGCACGCACTTCTCGTATACCTTTTCCCCTTTCTACCTTCCTTCCCATTACACGTACACTTCGAAACGAAACAGCCGCTCCAACTTATGGTACAATAACATTTCGTACCGCGCCTTCCGTTTCTTTCATCTACTCAAAGTAAACAACTATCAATCTCGTTAAAAAAATTTGTTAAGAAAAAAGAAAAGTTATCGTTGATCTCCCGTCCAGACGGGCAGAGTCAACGTACGCATTTAAAAAATGCCGAAAAAGAGACATCGCGTTTTTACATTGTTTCGGGCCTCTATTTGCGGTGAATATGTTGATATGTAGATTTCATTGAATAATGCTAAACGAGAATACTGCTGAGAGTAGCATTTATTGATTCCCTTGCATGGAAATTTCAACTGCAGGTTGAATTGGACGTGTCAAGATATTGCTGGTCTGCTGTTTACTCTTGCCGACATCCAGAAGCCTTCGTCAACAGATGTGGAATGCCACTGGGTTGCACTAGCAAAAGGTGACTGGTTACTGTAATCAAAGATAATTATTATGCATGCTGGCATCTCCGCAGTATGTTGTTATTACATAATCTGACATATGTGTTACACGATCGGCCTAAAGTTCCCCTTGTCCAAGCTACCTTAAAGGCCGGCCCGCAAGCAGAGAGAAGGAACCCGACCCTCACTTTCCTTCTCGCCACTGTGAAAGGAGGAAATCGCCTCTCGTTTCCTCCTCGCCGTTTTCCGACTTTTTTTTTTTTTTTGCTAACTGTTTTTTTTTTTTTTTTTGACAAGGTTGGGGCGGAGGAAATAAAAGGCTTCAAGGATTTGAAAAGATTATCCAGAAGCCAGCCGGCACACCTGCGACAAGGAGCTGAACCAACCGAGGAGCTGTTTTGAGCGAGCTTGGCACTTGCTCTTCCCAACGAGTTGCACTGGCTCTTTTTTAGCATTGGTTTGGAGGATGATTCTTGCTGGTTGTGAGAGCACAAATACCTCGTACTGCTCAAAGAAGTAGTCATTAAAGTATCAATTTTAATATAAATATCTGATTTGGCATCTTTCGTTGTGGGATTCATGGCGACAACGGGAAGTACGAGCGGCGTTTTCTGTATATCAGGGTTGGCGCTCCATAGACCAGTGGTTCTGTATCATTATGGTTCGTAAACCGCCAGAGGTGACGGAGGACCCCATCCGTAGTGGGTCTAGCACTTTTCGGCGTGGAGCGTTTTGCTGTAGGGCATTTCGGTGCGGACGTTTTGGTGCACAGACGTTTCAGTGTACGGACTTTTTGCTGCGAAGACATTTTGGTGTGGGACTTTTCGGTGCGCGGATATTTCGGTGCACGGACATTTTGATGCATGGACATTCGACGCTATGGTTTGCTCGCCGGTATCTCTTTTCCAACGTACGCAGACACGCTTCACATCGTGTTTGCGCGTTGAGTAGATAGAGATAGTCTCCTCTATAAGGTTTTGGCTTTATAATTGGTCATATGTGTAGGAAAGGACCCAGACAGCAAGACGTTTGAGCCTGTTTGTGTATTCAGAACAATTTTGAATATCTTCAAATGCGCCGCCTCCGCGTAATCGCACAGCTCCGATTGTTAATAATAAATTGTGATGACCTCGCACGACAAAAAAACAATGTAATTATCACTTGTAACTCATTAGGGAATAAAGGAGGCGTGTGCGGGTACAAGATAAGTGTAATAAAATCAAATATCGATTTGAATCAAGTAAAACAAGTAGAATTTGGTGAATGCTAAATCTATTTTATTTTGTATCAAATGTTTGCTCATTCTCGTACGAAAAAAAAAAAAACAGTGACCACAGATCATACACAGCTTATGATCTGTGGTCAACGTCTCCTTCCATGCCGTGATGATGTCGCCGGACGTAAAGAACTGCCTTACAATCGCGCTTATACAGAGCGATTTTTTTTTTTTTTTTTTTACGAGTAGACATTTTTTTACAAAAGACGTTCGAGTTACGCAATTTCGGTTTGTGCCTTATCTGTAGTCATCAAAAACACCAAATCATTCATTTTCAAAGAGATGTAGTGGACGTGAAGTGGTTCACGGCGTCCTAAAATGCCGAATTTGGACGCGAATCGTGTTACCGCAATCTTTTCGGCCGCCGCACTCCTCGCCCCTTCTACAGTGGCGTTGTCACAGCGATGCGCATGATTTGTCGTTTTGGCTTCATGGCGTTAGGCTGTGCCACGCGGAGATGGAGCCCACATAAAATCAGAACTATATTTTCGCGCCCAAATTAGGAGGACGCCGTATCAAGACGCCGTATAATAGTGTACGCGCGTTACATCTTTTTAAGAATGGACGGTTTGGTGGCTCGCGATTACGACCAACAACTTTCTAAATACACGATGTCGTTTTTCTTTTCTAACTAAAAGGTTAATTAGCGAATTTTAGGCAATCGGTCGGTTTTAATTGCGTTCTTTCATGAGCCTAATCCTCGCCTGGCCGTATAGCTCACCTACACAAATCGCAATGGCGCTAATTTTCACTGGACAATTTGGTGGCTTTCGATTATGCCCAACAACTTTATTTATTTATTTATTTGTACATACTGCTGGCCCGTGGGGCCGTGGCAGGGAGGAACAAACACACACACACACACAGAAAAGAATATGATTCATACCTCCAACAGAGCTACGAAGAATAAAGTGGTTACAAGATTAAATACAAAACGCACCGAGAGCGCAAAATAGAAAACAAGAGCACTAAATGCACGTAAAAAGTGATAATAAAGTTAACAATGACAATATACTGACAAAAATTATCCCGTTTTCTTTTATATTCCAAAAGTTCATTAACAAATTTTAGGTAACCAGTCGGTTTTGTTGCGTTCTTTCTTGAACCCAATCTTCACCTGGCCGTAGAGCTCACATCCACAAAACGTTAATTTGCACGTTTTTTTCTAATATCTAGTAGGTGAAAAAAAAAAAGAGACAAAACCAACGCTGTATATAAAACAAAGGGCAGTTCTTTACTGATATAAATAAAGCGTGAAACACGCGGCTTTGCATGCATCTCTTTTTTTTCTTTTTTCCCGGCCTATAAAAACAAATCCCGGGACATTCGAAATAGACTACTTCCATAAAGCCCTGCATGCAACACGGCGCGCGTTGCACTCTGGGAACTAGTTGGCCAGGAGGGTGGCATGGTTTCGGTTTCGATCGACACGTCGATAAGAGATTGTTTTCTGGTCCCGAGAGCGTCATTTGTGGTCTCTAAACTAACCTAAGTGGCCAGACCTCGAAGCTTTAGCACAAGCCCGAGACGTATAGCTTGTCTTAACACATGCTTGTTGTATTTTTGTACTTGAGCCTTCCTGTTAGCGCTCCAATCGAGGTATGTGGACGAGCCAGTGCTTGGAGTGTCGACGCTGTGAAGCTCGGGTGCTCGGGGATCTTGCTTGTGTACGAATCAACAAGCTGTAGCAAACAATAAGTATGCATACATCGAGCTCGCGCCTTTACATTAGTGTTGTTGATCAGGAAGTTTGTTTGCTTCGTGCGTCCACAGACGAAATATTTCTTTTTGCAATTACTGTTTTTCTTAATGTACCTGAGTATGCGAGGTAAAACTCGGAGGTGCCATTGAAAAGCTCAATTTTAACACACTTCTTATCTCTTATCTGTACTGACCCGCAGCACTGCACGAAGTGAAGTCGCCACCCGCTTGCATTCCACTAATATTCAACATCGTGTATGCGCATAAAGTTATCCTGCCAATCATATAGGCACATTCGCACATACAGACCGTTTTAAGAATGCAAAAGTCGAGCACTTGTGTGAAGAATGTCGCACCGTTCGCCGGAAGTGCGCACCGCATTGGGGTTCATACCCGTCCGGCGCACGGTGCGACATTCTTCTGACATGTGCTCGAACGAATTCAAAGCGCATTTGACGGTTGCTAATGGCCATAATATTTGTTATGTGTTTTCTTTCTTGCTGCCTGAGTATGCCGAGATAATTTCAGACAACCCGTTCCCGGCACAGATCTCAGGCGTCAGTAAAAGCTGGTCCAAAAAGGCTTAGCGAGGAGTAGGGGACGCTTGTTAGGGCCTCCGTCGTAGCTAGCCGATCTCAGCGTTTGTGAAAAATTAATCTTCTATCAGCATAAATTTGAGTGGGAGATATATGATGACACGAGGAAGACATCATAGTAACTTTTGTGCAGTAGTGAGGTCGAATTTATTGCGTTTCCTTAAAAGTTCATGCGTAAACGCTGGCCTCAACTTTGATACCCTGTGAGGATGCGGCTTGCTTTTCGCCCAATGAAGTAACAAGAAGCGGACGTTCGGCAAACAAAATGCGTGTAATACCCCTGTTACACGGGCACACTTAACCGCGGTTAACTCCGCTTAACTGCTTTTGCGCGGCACCACAGTTACCGCACTATACTCTCTGACAGCTATTTCAGAAGAAGTGAAGAGCGCGCGTGCACTGCTTTGATAGATGCTCAAGATGCTCAAGTGCACGTTCGCCCATAGCTTTGACTGCATAGCCGGAGAATGTTGTCGGCAAGTATTGTGCGCTAACTGCGGCTTAGCCTAACTGCAGTTAAGTGTGCCCGTGTAACAAGGGTATAAGGCTCCAGACGAACAAATTTCAGTTGTAGTTCACATCGTACTAGACGGGATTACTGACACTGAGCTCAAAGATGCACTCGTGGGGTGAGGTGACTAAGCCACGACTTACTACGTTCGCATACGCACGCACAATATCCGGTGTTTCGGGAACCAAGTGCCCCGGTCTTCGTTTTGTATCGCTCGAGAATGAGTGTATTGTGCGTTCGTGAAAAGTCAGATAATCGAAAACGCAAGCAGCGCGTTCGGTCGCGGCGTGATAGCATGAGATGAAGCTGCTCAGTCGAAACCGAAAATGAGTGGCCAACTAGTTCCCAGAGTGCACTGCGTGGTATTTCGCCGCGATGGGGCGCGTCGGTTTTGGAAGAAGTCCATTGAGTTTATGATGGGACGGGCGCTTTATCACAAGGTATTTTGTCATGTTTCATAAGCTTTGTTACAGGTCAGAAGGAAGCCACGCGAGTTACATTTGTTGGCAAAAACTAAATGCACGTTTGGCCACGAAGAATTTTTTTTCAAAGGCTGAAAATAGATGAAATATACCATAAACCGTTTCGCTTTTTATGGAAGTTTGTTTTTACTCTTCTTAGTAGCTTCAACGAGGCGGCCGTCACTGTAGAAAACACCTGTAGTGCGAACCTATATATTATGCCCCAGAAATGGTCAGACTGTGTCCCTCCAACTGCAATATCTTTGACTTGTAATTACTCATGATTATTACTTTGTACAAAAAACAGAAAAACAAAAACACAATAGTGATACAATCACTCTTCAGTGTGCCGTTGTTAGAACGAGAAATTTTCAAATCTCTGGGTAGAGCTCAAAGTTCAGATAAAAATACCCATCTTTTTTTCCTTCTGCTGTGATGTTCAAGTTCCGTTCACTCGAGATAAATATACCACCATTTACGGTGTTGTAGGGTATGTGGCCGCACGCGGAAGTATCTGAATGTAAAAGAACTTGTTGTTGGGCTAGTTGGTGTTGACTATCTGAGTGTGTTTTAGAGCTGCAAAAAAAAAAGAGAGTAAAAAAAAAAGGAAAAAAAAAAAAGGAGAAAAGCGAGCCAGCCCGAACCCTTCCGAGCTCATGTCCAGGCTGCCTAACTAATCCCTGATGTTTGGGATTGAAGCAGAGAACCTTGAAGGGCTACAGAGATTTTGTCGGGGGGCCGGTAAGCCCATTAGCACTCGTGCGAGAAGGCCGTAAAAAAGCGAGGAGGAAAATTGAGAACTAAAGGGGAGGAGGAAAAAAAGAAAAGAGGGGGAATTTCTGCCACGCTGAAGAAAATTTTGAGCGCCCGCCTTTAAGTAAGCAGCGGTTTGGCTCATGTCATATGGCACATCAAATACCTTCTAGATAAGGGAGCTCTTAATTTTAATAAAGCCTCGGAGCAACGAAACCTAAACAAAGAAACCTGCTCACACCATTTTACTCTATTGTAGCCAAGAAAGAAGCAGTCAGTGCGCTGAAAGACATCACCTTCAGGAAGCACGTGCTCAACAAGCCGACCCCAAAGCAACCGTGGCACCGGGCTCCTCCTGCACCGACTTCAGGAATATAAGGAGGCCTCCACAGTGCGCAGATTTTGAAGAGGCTTGGAGCTGTATACCCGTCAGCACTGTGGAACCACTACTCTGTCGAGACACCGCCGCCAAACCAGCAACTGCTCCTTCAAGACCCACGACGGGCCTCCTCTCAAAAAAGTGCGTATGCATCGTACAGCAAGCATTACATAAAATCCATTCCTACACTGAGTGGAAGGGAGAGGCAGGCAGCCTGCAAGGCTACAGTGGGGCAGCGGGCCAGCCCTGCGTGGATGAAAGAAAAGATTGCCCGCATGGGAGCATCTATGTTTCGGCGAATAATACATCCCTTACGAAAATGGCAGATCTGGACTTATATAAAAAGAAAACAAATATGGATATATAAAAAATTGGGCAGATCTGGCTATATCAAGCACATCAGTGTAAATAAGCCTTATATAACCAGATCTGCTCAATTTGTTATATATCCATATCTGGGTCTGCCAAATAGGGGTATATCTGCCTCCCATATCAGGGTGCTTTTTTTTTTTTCTTGCAGTTTTTTTCTTAAAAAAAGTCATTAAAGCTACACTTATGCGGTTTCTGCGAGTGAGTTATACGCCCAGGGAGACATTACGTGGGCGCTAAGCTTTGCGATTACTCGGGCTAATTAATTAGAATTCACTAATGAACTTTTCAATTAGTGAAAATAGACATACGGTTCCAATAAGCAGCTCGCGGGGCGTCGTCCAAAATCCCTAAATCAGTCATTTTCAGAAAGTCTTTCAGCGCGTGAGAAGCGCACTAAAGCCACCACTCGTGGAGCAGGTACAAGGCTAGCAGTTTCGGTAAGGCGCCCGCACAATTTTTCTGTCTCTTGTCTAGCCCCAGCCTTGTACCTGGTCCACGAGTGGTAACTTCAGCGCACTACTGCGCTTCACACGCGCTCAGTCTTTCTAAAAATTACTGGTTTAGGGGTTTTGGACGACGATCAGTAAGTTTCTAATTAAAACCATATGTCTATTTTCACTAATTAAAAGTTAATGAATTAATTTTATTTAATTAGCCGACTTATCGTAAAGATTAGCAAACTACATAAAGTCCCTTGGGCGTATCTCTCTCGCACAAACCGCATAAGTGTAGCGTTCACGGCTTCTTTTAAAACAAATCTGCAAGAATAAAAAAAAAAAAAAATAAACGGTATCCACCGTGCAGGTAGTTGACTCCTCGATCCTCTACAGCGGGAGCAATGGTAAACTGTGCCGCGCTCGGCTGTAGCAATTACCCGGTATCCCGACGATCGTTTCGTCGGCAGGAACCGCGAGACAGAGTGTCCGTCAAGTTAGAGAAAGTCCGAGCGGGAGGAGAGGGATATACGCCCGCGGATGACCTAGCATTGTTTACCAGTATTTCGCAAATTCGTAACAATTTTTCTACAAGCGACTCGTAAAGCCGCTCGTCAAATTTTGGAACGCGTAATTAAGAGTCTGTGCTGCTGTTGTTTTATGGCGACACGTCAAAACTTTGTCGGCGGCATGTCGAAACTTTCTGCTTGTAGCGCAATCGCACCAATGCCGATACATTCTGCACAATGATTCTCCAGGCTGCCAGGAGATAGACACGGCCTAAATCTAGAGGTAATCTGGAAGAATACATCCAGGAGAAACAATCAATTGTCACGAAGTAGGTTGCAGCGCACTTACGTTGACGAGACGCGACTTGAAAGGTATTGTCCGAGGGATATGTCGACACGGCCACGGCAAAACCACCACTCGAACACAGAAACGAGAAGGTGCCCGTGAAGATTCAATACGATGTAGCACAAGCTGTCGTTCGTAGAACCGAACACTAAACGCATCACAAACAGTTATTGGGCTTCTTTGAAGAAATCGCTTGCAGAAGCAGACATACCCATCTGCCACAGAGGGAGAATTCACACGCCAAACTAGGTCCGGCTAAACGCATTCCGAGATCGGCAATGGCTAATGCGTCATCCGTCAAACCACGTGACCACTCACCTTTTACAGCGCTTTCAGCTGAGGGAGAGAGAAAAGGATCCAAGGAGAGGCCAAAACGGGGTATCACGAACAAAAGGCTAATCTTTTGGGGCCACAACGAGGAGATGTGTCACTTGTAACGAAGGTTGACAGTGCTGTGATTGCTATGTGTGGCCTTGGGTGCCAGGCAGGTGCGATTTCCTGCTTTGTCACCAGATTCTAGACTGTAGTCACGTGACCCTAACCGGAGACACGATTGGCCTAAAACACGCGTAGCGTCTACTCTGCTGTCAATACCGAGTGAACATACAGCTCTATGAAGTCTAGCTGTTGACCTCAAAACTATGCGACTTTCAAGATACTATGTTTTACGCTGTTTTACATTATAATTTGAAATGAAAAAATTAACGCAACTATTTTTTTGTACATGATGTCGACAAATAAATAGATAAATAAATATGTATATATATATATATATTTACCAATAAATTTAACATCACGTGTACACTGTTTCAAATTTTTTTACGAACGAGTTATACATAAAAGACACCACGGACAGCACATCTTCCGACTTTCAACACACGATGAATCACCGTCGCTCGCAAACGAACGGATGCGGTGCTGCGCGAACGGTTTTGAAAGAGCTGCGTATTGTACTCCGGGCGCAACGGCTTCCGTTCGAAGGGAAAAGGATTCAGGACGGCGAAGTAGCGTCTTGCATCTTGAGTAAACTAACGGTTCGTGTTTACCCGCTCAATTTAGCGGGGAAACATAAAAAAAAAACATTAGTTTCACTGCCAGATTTCGCGGGAAAATTGACGTCACTTGACATACGTACCAGTTCAATTTCTCGCTAAATTTAGCGGGGCGGTTACACCGATGGCGACGCCAACACCGCTTAACTCGGAAACGGGCGCGTAAGAGCTGCGACTAAAATCCATTATTTGATTAACTCGCGTTCCGATCGCACTTCGTCATATTGTCACACATCAAACATACAACCAAATTTCATTTGTCTTTCAATCTTCAAATTGCGCAATTGATTAATTGGTCCAAATACCTGGAATAACTTCACTTTAAGGATGTCAACAATAGTTAACCAATTACATGAGACTCATGCAATACAGATCAATCAACTAGTGTCTTAGCGAGTACATATAACTTGTTGCTTGCATGGCTGAAACGGGCCCATATATCATTATCAGGGGCGCTATATTTGCACGCGTATATGGTGATATATGGACGTATTTACGCACTTATACGGCCAGATCTGGCAGTATTTGCGCACCTATATTGCGAAATACGGCCGTATTAGCTCCCATATCTGGCGAAATACAGCCCTATTTGACTGCTTATATTATCATATCTGAACGTATATAAAATATATCAGGGCCATATCTGACATTTTCGTACGGGTTGGCCCTCCATTTTTTAAATTCAATCAGGTTAAAAGCAGTGGGATAACGGCGAAATATACCTCATGCCTGGTTGTGTTTCTTGCGAGTGACTGTGCAGTCCTTATTCCACCAGGGTTTGCATCTCCGGGGTAGGACGCCGGATGTTTGCGGAATAGAAGATGCAGCAGCATTAATTAGACACTCATTGACAAACACCGTCGCCTCCTCGGGGGACATACTGCGAAGAAGCGATGGATCCAGTACGGCATTTAAACCGAAAAGAGCCCAGTCAGCCTTCTCTAATTTCCACTTTGGAAGGCGGGTCGAAAGCGAAGGAAGGGGTATTGAACTTTCTAAAATTATGGGGAAATGATCGCTGCCAAATGGATTATCTAAAACCTTCCATGAAAAGCATGGAAGTAAAGCTGATGATGATATGGAAAGGTTTATTGATGTAAAGGTGTTATGAGCAGCTCTAAAAAACGTTGGCTCCTTTTTATTCAGAAGACAGAGCCCGGAGGATAATAAAAGTCGTTCTAAAACTCCACCACGGGAATCCTGACGAACACTACCCCACAAAGGGTGGTGGGCGTTAAAATCACCTAGAATTAAAAAAGGCTTAGGCAGCTGATCTATGAGTCCTTGTAGCTCGTGGAGCTGCAGTGGAACGTTGGGTGGCAGGTAGAGAGAGACGAGGATGATGAGTCGGTCAAGGAGAACGCGAACTGCTACTGCCTCGAGTGGTGTTTGTAGAGGAACCTGAGCACACACAACCCCGCTCTGCACCACAACTGCGACACCACCAGAAGGGTTAGGAGAAAGGCGGTCCTTCCTAAAAACCTGGTGTCGGCGTAAGACCTGTGTGTGTTTGTCATTCAGATGGGTTTCTTGCAAACAGAGTGCCACAGGACGAAGCTCATCAAGAAAAAAATTAACCTCATCAATATTGCGAAGAAGGCCGCGACAGTTCCACTGCATGATATCTAATTGTTTAGTCATAGCAGTGCTAAAATTGAAATAAACTTTAACTTAAAACTGCAAAAATGGGTAAAAGCAGATTACTAGGGTTTAAAGTCAATTTTTATGCGCGGAGCGTTTTCCTTTTTTGCGCAGTCATTCTGCTTCCCACTAGAGGTAGTGGGAGCAGCGAGGGAGGACTCCGGTCCCGAGAGGATAGCCTCGTCGTCGGATCTGAGCCCACACTCTTCCATGGGCTCTTCCGGTGGCGCCGTCAGTTGACCCTTAGGGGCCAACTGCTTCGACGTCTCACCGGGCTTCCTCGGGGCAGTGGTTCGGGGTGGCTGGCCCCGGTCCCGGGGGAACACAGAGGCAGGGGGGGCCATCCCCCGCTCGGGGGTGGATGCTGGCGGGCCAGCACCCTCCCTAGGCTTGGGACATCGTGCCGCTGGCACCGTCCCTGCGGGTTTCGGTGGGGACTCCGACGAGACCCGGAGATCGTCCGGAGACGTCTGCGTTCCCATCGAAACCACTGGCCGCGCTGGTCCCCTCCACAGGGCCTCGATATAAGAGCCTTTCTTTACAAAGGCAAAACGCTTCTTTGCCTCAGTGTAGGTGATGTTTTCAGTGACCTTTAATGTAATAACTTCTTTTTCGTCTTTCCACACAGGGCAAGATCGGGAGTAT